TTTCCCTTCAAGTAAAGTATAAAGCATGCATTAAAAAGAATTTACGTAAAATATAGGTAAATAATTTATTCAATGACAATGATAATGTAAAAAAAAAAATTGATTATATTATCTGATGACAAACTGTAATTTACGATAATTTTTTTTTAATTTTTGCAAAAATCATCTTAAAAGCCATATTTAGAGTGACTTTTGATTGGTTGTGAATGTAATTTTTTTTATTTATATTCACAATATATAACTTATCAAACTCGGAACTTATATATCCTAGCGGACAGAACCTATAACATAACTATTAAACTCTTAAAATATAACAATAGATTGGTACTTAATTTATTTGATATAGTGCCGATTAATTTAGAGATTTTAAATATTAAGTTAATTTATGTTTGTTTATAATTATAAATTATTTTAAATAATTTTATGATAAAATTTTCAAAATAAATTATGATTTTAATAATATATTTATATTATTTTCACCTCCCAAGTATTTTGAAAAGTTGAAAAAACGTATGATATATTTTTTTTTAAAAAGGAAATGACGTCTCTTTTAAGGAAAAAAAAAAGGCATAACAAGTCTAATATCACATGATTATAATAATATCTCGTGATTTTTTTAGTTAAATCAATAAATTTTACATTTATGAAGTAATTAAATAAAATAATTATACAAAGTTTACTCTTCAAAAAATGAAGCTCGCTGATCTGTATGACTGTATGGATGAATATATTTTCTCAAACGTGGATCTGAAGTTCTTAACATTGTAAATTTTCTGCTGTAAAAAAAATGTAATTTTTCCAAGAAAAAGGACATGAATAACTTATTTTAACCGGATAAATTGGTCAGAAAATGTTTTTTTTATTAGTAAGAAAATATCACAATAACCTTAATAAGATTCGAATATGCATCATCGACCTCGACACTAAACCAGCTTTAATGGATGCTGGTAAGGAAATGTTTAAATAAATTATAATATCACCTCACCACATGTGCGAGGTTTTTGAAAAAATATATACTCTTGAGATAATTAAAAAACTTTTCCTCATTTGATTGGTAATTAAATGTAGTATTTTTTTTATAGAAGAAATGTAGTATATTACTTAATAGCACGAAGGATATGTGTACTAATTTTTACGAAGGAAGTGCCATCTTTTTATTTTTTGACACATTCAAAATTGATTATAAATCTGAACGGCTTTTTGAAATTTACCAATACTTGAATTTTGTTATCATATATATCATTTAGCAGAACTCAAATTTGTATTGAGCTTTATTACAATAAATTATCTGGTTTTTTCTTTAACCTTAATATATGTGTAATAGAAGATTCTCTTTGCATTTTCTTTCAAGACAGACATTGCAACAGTTTGTAGGAACATGCCAAGTGGAGAAAATTTCTTAGAAATTTCGCAGGTTATAGTTTGTAGGTTAAGGCTTTATGCAGTATTCATATAAACGACGAAACTCTAAAAAACGTTAAAAGAAAATCTATAGTAATATTACCTAATTAAAATTAATTTACACGAGAATATGGATGATTATAACATTTCTCTTAGATTTATTATGAAAAATGTACACCACCACTATTCGCTACGCTACGCATCCATCTTCGTATAACAAACTTTAGTCTCGACACGATTTGCTTTTATATTTGGTTTCAGAATTTTCTTCCAAATGTTCCAATCCAATTTTTCCTAACCAAATCTGCTAACCTTATTCATATTAAGCTTGAATGCTAACGTGTCCATCCC